CGACAGTAGCCATTTCAGTCCCTTTTATCTTTGCCGTGTGAATATCTCCATGCTGCACCTAGAAAATCAACTTGGCAAACGCGTGTTTTCGGCATCTCATCATCAGGCCAGTACAGTTGCATAGGAACGGAAAATATGAAAAGTTTACTGGGCGTATAAGTGATTCAGGGGCTATCAACACTCATCGTTACCACGCCACCCGCATGACGAGGTCGGCGTGTTTTAATCATTTTGGAGCAGGGGGGGGGCTTGACGTGGGCTGTGAGTGATATTTGTAAGTCGGGCACGTGGAGTGCAGATCACTGTCACCAGGGGGTTAGGACGGCGTGTAATAACAATCTTGGGTCGGGGTTAGCCATGGAAGACAGAGGGCCTGCGTCAACGCCTTCTGATAACATACCGCTGGATTGGATAGCCGCATAGCCACTGCCTCGACTGCTTTTATCGGTGTTCGCTCTGAGTTGAAATGCTACAGTAAGATTATACCGCCACAAAACCCAGCACATTAATGACACATTCAAGAGTAAGTGGGGCTCGGGAATATGAACCCCTTCTCCCCATAACACAGGTGATCATACGCCAAATTCCAGGGAGACTTAGATGAAGTTTAGGGTCAAAGTTAAGGTTTGGATTAATGTTAGGGTTAGGGAATGGGAAAAACGTACCTTTTCTGGAACTTAATGTAAGCACATCGGCATTACAAGGAGTGGGTTTTCCTATTCTTTTGTCTTACCGAAACATAAGAGACATACGTCGATCAATCTCATAGGTGTGTTGTGTTTTAAAAATGTCTTGCATGTGACTTTATACTTTGGACCACGCAGAATCCATTTCTGCTAGGCATAGTCGACCCTCTCTGGTTAGTATTTCGCATCGTGTCTCCTCAAATCGAGTGACTTTGTCTCCTGTTGGTTCTTTCACAGGTGAATTCACAGGTGTCCTGGCTTCAACTGTCCCGGAGCTTCGGCCTCAAAAAGGCAGTGGATCGGTCACACCTGAATGACAGCACATCTGAACTCTACTTCAACCTCTTTCGGCCCTCCTTGAGCGCGCTCGACATCATCCCCTTGAACGCAGATGGGTTCTGGAGGGGCTACACCAAAATGCAAACTCTGTTTTCGGTGAGTCGACGCCGTACAACTGCGTGCTTTGCTGGAAGATCACTGAAAATAACCCCGGATGTTACGCCAAGGTTTCAACCCAGAAGCACTTATACGTTTAAACGTTAGATTTCCACGGAGGTATACGCAATGACTTAGGTACTTCTTCAAGAGTATTTGTGCGTAGCCCCTCTCATAACGAATAATAAGACCGTTAGATTTAGTTGGGTTTATGTGCAAGAATCTACTTACAAATGGTTGTTAAATTGCCGTCAGGAGGGAGTCCTTCAGGTTCCTTGTCCGGCAAGTTGTTGCACCGGATATGCTTCCGCAGTATACGACAGGGATATTTCCAACGCCTGCTTCAAACCCACGTTGTCTAGGCCAAACCGTAGACGATATTGGACCCCGTCTACGTTGGCCCATATTATTTGACTCGACACCGGAGCCCCTAGAGCTTTCCTCCCTCGACATTGGCCGCACCGGAATACATATCTGTCGGTGTGCAGCTTAACACTTGGCATTTAGATAGCAGTGTCCTTGTCTGGCAGTAGTCTACCATCTTCTCGGAGTTTATAGCTTCGGCTATTTCCTCCGCGTTGGTCAGAAAATCAAGCTTCGGTTGTCTGACTTTTCTGTGACCTGGAGCTGATGTCCTGTATTTTAAAAGGAAATAAATAACCATTATTACCTATTCTGTTCATGAATGCATTTCATTATCGTACATAACCCTCATACATAAGTATTTGTTAACGTCAAATGTTTATTTCACAGCAGCCAGTTAACTTGTTATGAAGATACAAACAGACATCCATGCTTACGTTATTTGGTTTTCTCCTGGTTCATTAGGGTGTATCTCCATAGCTTCTCTAATATTCATGTGTATCACGCCACCTTGCAGTAAAATTTCACAGTTACTATATTTGGCACCTACTGTCCTCTCCTATTGGTTGTTCGTTTCATTGGTCTCTGGGCTGTCGCAAGTTTGCAGGCGGCGGATTATTCGGTTATCTTTTGTTTATTGTGACAGGCTTTTTGCTTATTTATAAATGCATTTCATTATCGTACATAACCTTTATACATAAATATTCTTTTTCCTTGAATCTTTTTACAGTAGCCAGTTGACTTGTTATGAAGATACAAACAGGTTTTTTCCTTGTTCATTAGGGTGTATTTTCATAGCTTCTCTAGTATTCATGTGCATCACACCACCTTGCAGTAAATTTTCAGTTACTGTTTTTCTCTCCTATTGGTTGTTCGTTTCATTGGTCCCTGGGCTGTCGAAAATGTGCGGGCGGTGGATTATGCAATTACCTTTTGTTTATTTCCCAATTAAAGCGCTTGCTCACGTTTCTATATATGGGCGTAGAAGAATTTCAGAGGAAAAATATCTATTTTCTAAGTGTTATTGTATGGATTTCGCCCCCCCCCCCCCACGCGGTGATACCTTACTCGTAAAACATCTATTACTACCATTTCCGTATTGCACGAGCTTTGGCTTACTGCTTACGAAGTTGGGTTGCACAACCTATCGTTTCCGGCCTTCCCACTATCTGCCACCTGTGGGCGCGCCAGAACTAAAGCGGTTTTTGTATCGCAGCTATCCCTCCTGTTTGATTATATTTTTTTCCTATTCTATTTTGTTCAAGTCAACTGCCATTGGGTCTCTTTTGCCCACCCTGTTGGCCGTGGGTTGGGATTCGTTGAGCCTAATTGATCGTGAGACCGGTGACCTACTCGCCACCCACGATCTGCCCTGCCCTCCTGTCGCCCTGCCCTGGGCTGTCTACATGCCGGACCCAAGGTCGATGCCGGTACCGGCCGCTGACACCTCCTTCTCTGCGCCCCTCGAAGGCGAGCTGTTGTTCGTGCCCTGCAACGAACTTCTCCTCGGTTTCACCGTGGTCTGCGCTCTGCGCTGGTGGGTCTTCCTTGGCTCCCTCCTTGTTGCTGGCGTCTCCTACGCCGTCTTCTTCTTCCTCTCCAGTTTGAGTCTTTGAACGTCCTTGGTACTTTTACGTTAGTGGACCGCCTACCGCGCCGCCGGAGTAGCCAACATGGCTTATATATATGTATATATGTGCATTTTGTAATTGATATGGTTTTTTACGTATCTGTTTTTTTAATCATCTATATACATATCCCCGCCTCGTTATTGATTACATTTGCGAGCTCGTCGTTTTGGCCAATTATGTTGTCAACTTGTTGAAAGAGGGGAGTGATATGCCGCCTCGTTTTCTGGATGTTTGGCTTAAAACGTCTGGAGGGGCAAGCAAGGGTTATCTTGGTTGGAAGTGGGTTTGCTCCTCTTCGACTTCTGTTTGCCCTTGACAGCATTAATAGTAGTGGCGTTCGGAAAAAAAGCTCTAAGGTTATAAAGTTGGACAACTTTCCTTGCAACTCACCACACGCGTATTACGAATGTTCGTTGTGCGATTGATGGTAGCATTGCGCCTAGTGTGCTGTCCGCCACAATGTCTGCGAATGTCATATTGTATATCATCAGTCAGTACAACATACGACGGTTGAAACAAAATAAAAACCTTTACCAGCATATATTCCCGATCGCAACCGACAACACAACGAGCTCGCGGCTCAGTGGTTAGAGGCAGTAGACTTCTAACTAACACGTCGCGGGATCGAGCCCCAGGTGTTCCACACTTCGGGTTTGGGTATGATTGGCTGGCGACGGCTAATATGCCAGAAATAGCCATTCCAGTCTCCCTTGTCTTTGTCGGTAATAGCACTCTGCCTATATCATGCACCGCTGTGCGGCTGCTGGTTGGGCTCCAGAAATAGCCCGTAAGGCACAACGGCACGAGCGAGTTCCGTAGAAAACGATCGGCGAGCGTCCCCTCTACCACAATAAAAACCATGCATCACTTCGGCGGTTCAGTCATCCAGGAAGTCGTTCAATCCAGAGAGATGAAGGACACTGTGCAAATTTTCATACGATGACTTGAGAGCGCCTTCTCACGGCCCTTTGGTGGTTTGCTCTCACTGAACGCCCAAGCAAACCATCGCAAAATTTTGCCATTGGTTATTCTACCTGGTGCACCGGGAAGTTAAATAGTTATTTCCTTGTGTGCTAGAGGTGTAGTCTTTGACCTCGATAAGTGCCTCCTCTTAAACAGATCAAGGGGCTGCGTTTATCTGGTCCAAAACTACATTTCTCTAGAGTTTCGAATTCTGACTCGGGCCCGTTGTCAAGATTAAACTAAAGTACACATTTCAGTAAGCGTCCATACACTTCGGTCGGCGGTGACTTCCAGCCACGTCACCGATTTGTTCTCACATCGCTCAGCAAGCCAGTGGCAGGTATGCATGCCATCTGGCTGGAAGAGTGTTTGAATGCCCTCGTCCTACGGTTGACATGAAATCCGATTGGTCCAGGAATAGCTTCTCCCTCTTAGGCAAACATTTAGACCTCGTACACACGACAGTTTGACAGTTGCCGACGATGTCCACCGCGTGCTCCACAGCATGGTGAAGCAGACAGGGTGACTTTCGCGAGAATTAGTTTATAGTGATAGTAGACTTGCACAGCATCTACCGCACTCTCTTCCTTCCCTACCTGGACCCGGTGTTAACACAGAGTCAAGAAGACCCGAGGCGGGGAGGGCGCAGGAGGATGGCGCGGCCGAGCCCGCACCTTGGCGTTCCGCCCCATATCCCTTGGTCCACGCGGCGAATAACCAGATTTTCTTAAACGAACAACAAAAAAGAGGGCTGGCGTGGCCGGAGCCGCATATGGTCGTGTCGCGACACCTTGTTCGGATCCGAGGGTGTGGGAATACCATAAAGGCCAAATTAAGAAGGAGCCATTGCAGCCTGACTCTTAGACCACCAGTCAGCCGCTCGACACAAATACACGACACTGGGCCGACTGCGAGGTCCAGGTTATCCCGTCAGTTGGCAACCTTTGCTGCCGTCGGTGGGGCGGTTGACAGAGGCCTTGTGCAGGCGGTTCTTCTCGGCGAGCAGATCGCAGATGGCGACGTCATTGCTATCGAGACAGTCCTGGTGTTGGCGGCGTGCGCGACCGAGCACGGTCAGCGCCGTCGACTGGACTGTGTCCTGCTGTTGACAGCATCGGTTCTCTACGGAGGCGTTCTCGTCAGCGGCGGCGACGGCAACAGTGACTGGAATTTTATCTAGTCGTTGAGCTAGCTCGTTGCTGAAATGGAGATGGGGTGTAAATAAAGGCAACAGAGCAATATCTCACCCGGGGGTCGCTTACCTTGGAGTCTTCTGTGAGGCTGTGGACGAATCCGCATCTTCGAGATGACGAGGCGATGGTCGGTCCACCCATCAGCACCCGCGACCGCCTTCTTCATCAGCACGTCCCACTGGTCTCGCCTCCGGACGAGGACATATTCCAGCAGGTGTCACTGATGCGACCGAGGGTGCATCCACGTGGCCTCCTATCGCATCAGGAGGCAGAAGAAGGTGTTCGTCAGGATTAGTCGGTGTTCTGCACACGCTCATAGAAGTAGCAGACCATTGTCATTGGAACCGTTGAGACCACAGGGGCCTAGCACTCCTCGCCAGACAGCATGGTCTGTGCCGACGCGGACGTTGAAGTTACCAAGGACAATCAACTTATGCGCCTTCGACACAGTCTCCAGGAAGGCGTACAGGTCCTCGTAGAATTTGTTCCTCGCCTCGACGGGGGCTAGTCATTGGGGGAGCGTAGGCGCTGATGATGGTGGCGAATTTGCCTCCCCGGAGAAACTGGCGGAGGCTCATCAGACGATCGTTGATGCCCTGCGGCAGACAGAGCAGTCGTCCCACGATGTCGTTCCGGATGGCAAAGGCAACGCCCGCGTCCCGTCGCTCTGCTTCGGGGTGACCGATCTAGAAGAAGGTGTAGCCGGCGTCCGCCTCCTCTAGCTGACCTTGTTTGGAGAATCGAGTCTCGCTGAGTGCGGCGATATCCACCTTGTAGCGCGCCAGTTCCCGGGCCACTAGCAATGTTCTCCGTTCCGGTCGGTTGCTCCTCAGGTTGTCTAGAAGGGAACGAACATTCCAGGCTCCCAGAGTGAGCGGACTGAACTTACCAGTCTGGCGAGTGGGGTGGCGGGGAGGTTGAGGGAGAAGAGAGGGTATTGTTCCGATTTGGAGTGTTTTGACCGTGTGCTTTACGTCTGCGACCGCGGTCAGCCTCCAGACGACGTGGACCCCAAGCATGTGTTAAGGGCACCCTTTCTAACCCCTTCCCCTTGTGGGGGCGAGCAATCCACTCCCTAAATAGGGCTGCTCGGTTGTCCCGGACGGCTGCCGAACTTCACTAGGGGTCACGTCTTTGTTAAGTGGGAGAACGGATCGAGTTAGCCTGGGACAGCCTACGACATCGCCGTAGGCTTGAAGGGGGGGGGGCGGAAAGGTAGAGAGGCGGGATGCGGAGCTTTTCCTTCCCTCTCTAACCTGATTGGCTGCTGAAGTACAAACGGTGGGCAGACACAATCGACAGAACGGCATTTAGCTTACAAGCAAGCAAGCAAGCAGGACAGCGAGGAGCAAAGGCAACAGAGGAGATCCAATAGAGCGACAGTCAGTTTTTAACAAGGACGGACGAGAAAGCAAGAACAAGAACAAGCGACGCAAAGGCAGAAGAGCAGCATTCGCTTACCTGGAGACTCACTTATCTTGTGGCCTCCTGCGGTGTACCAGACGGAACCTCGCCTCGACGATGTCGATGCGAAGATTCATCCGGCCAACGAAGTCGAGCTTACCATGCGCGGAGATGCACACACAGATATCCTCACCTGGTTTGGTCCGCCGGTTGAGGTGTTTACGGGGGTGTAGTCGCTAGACAGAGCCTTACTTCGGGGAGCCACATGTGAGAGTTGGATGGCAGCAAATGGACTCTAGAAGTAGTCTACACCTGCAAGCAACTGAACGACCTGTAATATTCGGGTTACCTGTCGGTTTAGCTTCGTCTGGATTTGCGTCCTTAGGGGGTGATTGGCGCTAGTCGTCAATGAGGGCGACTGTAGACATATTCGTTTCTGAGCTTCCTTGCATGGAGATCGTGCACACTCAAACACGCAGACATCAACGGATAATATCAGAACCGAATCGTCAACAACGGAACGTTTATTAAATAGGGATCTGGGGAGGGTACGGATCACGGGTTATTTCGTCAAAGGGTGAGGGGAAGGAAAACAGAGAGGGAAACCAGAGGTTGCGGGAAAGCCTTCCTCCGGTTTATTCTTCTTTCGGTCGGGATACCGGTACGCGTAGTTCTTCAGCCGGCGCGTCCGATTGGTGTTTAGTCACCTTTGCTTCAAAGGAAGCGGAATGTCACTCGGGGAGACGTTAGCGAAAAAATTAAAACAAAATTAAAAATACCTGCCCTTTACAGACCTACTACGTCCGTCACGTGAACCCACCGCTGGACACTCCTGCACCCACACCGTACATGCATACATGCGTGACCTATCTCATGAAATGCTGGCTGAAATTCTGAAATGCGCTTTCGATTAGGAAGGATTACTTGGTCGCGGTTGTGATAATAACTATCTTAAGGCATACTCTTATAACATTTTGGACTCGGCAGGATGTCGGCTTTAAAATGCACTTCTTTTCAATCTCCTGTAGAAAACTTGCTCGGTAAAAAATGACTACTTAAGTAGCATGCATTTTCCCCATTGATTTTCGATAGTCTTGCAAATTCAAATATATTTCATAGAAACCGCAAACAAAAATATGCTTTCTTTTAGTCAATCAATAGAGAGTCACGTCTTCTTTATATTTTATACGTAAGGAGTATAATTAGGTTTTGAAAAGTTTTCCAATTGCCGAAAAATGTGGAACCTGATCATTAGCTGCATTAGCACTTAGTGATTACACTCTACAAGGTGCATGCGTTCCGCGTAAAGAAAATCCCATATTTTTCTATGTCATTAAAGAGATATTATACAGGATCCATAAAATTTTGCAATGGATGCGGACCATGTTGTACATTTCATGAGGAGCTGTGGTGAACGGACAGGTACGATGCTATACGAAAGGGCATATCGCGGTCTTAGAAAGTCTCATAATTAGAAACTTTTTTAAAACCTAATTATACTCCTTCCTTAAGTATAAAATATAAAGAAGACGTGATTCTCTATTGATTGACTAGAAGAAAGCATATTTTTGTTTGTGGTTTCTATAAAATATATTTGAATTTCCAAGACCATCGAAAATGAATGGGAAAAATGCATGCTACTTAAGTAGTCATTTTTTACCGAGCAAGCTTTCTACAGGAGATTGAAAAGAAGTGCATTTTAAAGCCGACATCCTGCCGAGTCTAAAATGTTATAAGAGCATGCCTTAAGATAATTAGTATCACAACCGCGACCAAGTAATCCTTCCTAATCGAAAACGCGTTTCAGAATTTCAGCCAGCATTTCATGAGATAGGTCACGCACTGTACACGATATTCGACCGTCGAGTCTGACGATGTCCACCATGTGTTACACAGCAAGGTGCGGTAGGCACGGTTACTTACGCGTGAATTCGCTTATAGTGGTGGTAGACTTGCGCAGCAGCTACTACACTCCCTCTTCCCCACTCCCCCACCTGGACCCGGTGTCAAGACAGAGTCAAGAAGACCTGAGGAGAGGGAGGACGCAGATGGCTGGCACGAACAGACTCGCACCTAGGCGTACCACAACGTCCCCTGGTCCACAACATACACGTGATCAGGAACATACATACATACGTACGACAGTTCGACCGTCATTGTCAACGATGTCCACCGTGTTCTATGCAGCAAGATGAAACACGGACGGTGGCTTGTGTGCGAATTAGCTTTTAGTGATAGTAGACTTGCGCAGCATCTACCGCACTGTCGCTTCCCCTCCCCCCCCCCCTACCTGAGCCTGGTGTCAAGACATAGTCAAGAAGACCAGCGGTGGGAGAGGGCGCAGGTGGATGGTAGGGTCGAGCCCGCACATTGACGCTCCAGTCCACACCCCCTGATCCACACAGCAAATGACCAGTTTTTTTTAACTAACAACAGCAGTGTGGGGTGGCAGGGGTCCCAGTGTGCGCGACGTCTGCCGGCATCCGGGGGTGCCACCGCACCCTGAAATGTTGGCATTTGTTGTGGGACGCAGTCCGATAACTTCCGCCAGAATCCGATATGGCCCCCGTGTTGGTTCAGCGCATCTACCACGTGGCGAGTTTGGGGCACATATATATAGGGGACGCTAGGGGACCCATTGAGGAGTCGAACTCCTCACATCTGTGTCACCTAGCGGTGGAATATCGGCGAAACACGTGTCTGGGCGTTTAGTCAATACCTGTGTTTGGAGTACGGTATAATACGTTTGCCATATATATTGATATATTACATGGTGCCTGCAGAGTCAAGAGGGACGTGAATGGCCATTTCTGGCTTATTAGTCGTCATCAGTCAGCTATGCCCAACCCCAAGTGTGAATCGCTTGCGATTCGAACCCGGGATCTTTGTTAATGGAGTTAAACACTCTACCATTAAGCCAGTTGTGATCGGTAATATCAAGCATGACGGATTAGCGCTCACCGATCAGGTTGCGGAACGGGCTTGTTCTGTTGTGCCTTGGAGCTCAACCTAGAACCCTCGCGGATAGCCACATGGCGAGGTATCACCTTATCCACATATATCCCTAGTTGGTACATGGGCTCATTCACGGCGCAGATGGTCCATCAAAGGGTCATAGGCACTTGATCGAACTGACTTTCACGACTTATAAAAATAGACCAGAAGGGAAAAAACTCCGACCCAAAATGAGCCTCAGGGCCTTCTTCCAGCCGCTTTCCCATCAGCTTGACCAGGTTGTTGTCTCGGTTTGGTGACGGTTGTCTGAACTGCAGTTAGGCACTGACATTGTTGCTCAGATAAACACTATGGACCGGTTACTTTCTAAGGTACTCTTGGCACTGGACTGGACTTGCGATCCTGTTCTTCAGTCATCTTTAGCTCCCACCCCCACCCACCCAAAACCGCGCTCCATCGTTGTTGGCTTCGAAGTTTTCGGCAGCTTGTGTAAATCCTTGGCACAGTTACATGCTGTACTACACAGGGCTTCTATTTTGTGTACTGTCAAGCTCGTTTGTACCATTTACCTGCATAGGTGTTGCAGAACTTGTGAAATGACCTCCGAACAAATGGCTCATGCGACTATGTGCGTCCGACCACGCAATACACCGGCAACCATTAAAGGCAGCTGTGTGGGTGCGCTTTGTAGCCAGCTTAGCTGTTTTCCTTTCTGAGTGCACTTCAAACGCGCACACGAGCGAGCAATCGCGCTTGGGATGGCGTAAACATTATCCGCCAATCAGATCGCTATCTAAGTGGCCAATTAGGGCTCGGCCCTGTAACAGGCCTACGCGCCGTGGCACGCATTTTTGCACGCTTTAGTGGACACTGCGGCCGACTCCTCTGCCACCACACTGGCTGCACTTGCGACGTTATTTTCCTTCATCTCATTTTTCTGTGTCAGCTATGCGGAGCATTTTCCTTTTGTTGATCCAAACTATGACGCGGACAACTCCGTCATGGTCATCGTTCCTAAAACCCTCTTTCCTGATGTGCCAAATCAAATTGAACTTCATTCCAAACATCCCCTTTTGCGGGTACTGATTGGAGCATCAGTGCATGGTCTCATCAACGACTCCATGGTGACCTCCTATACAGAACTGCACCAAAGAAAATCACAGGGACTATATGTCGCTGAACTGGCTTACCGCACTCCCTTTGTCGTGTCTGAAGGTGTTGCGGTGACCCTGAACATCACATATGACTACTGCTTGGAAGCCATCGGCACCTTCGAGATCGGAACGCCTCTGATCAACTGCAGATATGAGAAGAGTAAAAGCGTCCTCTGTTACGCATACATGATCAGACACTTTTCTATCCTCATGGGGGAGACGGATAAGACCCTCTACCGGCCGGGGGAGACCGTCCGCTTCCGTTTCCTGGCCTTCAATCCACGTACCATTCAGCCAGACAGCACAAAACCTGCCTGGCCGCTCTACAGGGTTGACAGAACAGACTTCGCCTATCCTAAACTGGTTAAGATTCCGGACGAGGAGGTTAAACGTCGTGAAGGGCCACCGTACTTTGACGTCATTTACGTAGAAGATCCGCATCGTAATCGCCTCAAAGAATGGACATCTGTCCTGCAACCAATGGCACTCAGTTTGTCTTTTCAGATTCCGAGCGATGCGTCTGAGGGTCGTTGGCGTATCGTTGCTAGACTGTTCGCTGAAGTGAAAGAAATAGAGATAGACGTTCGGCAGTATGTTATGCCACATTTTCTTGTATCGGTGACGGGACCTGCGGAGGTTAGTCTTACTGAGGAATTCCTTCAGCTGCGAGTCTGTGCCGCCTACACCAACAGCACCAGCTTCTTTCGAGGGCACTACGATATCCAAGTCTGTTTGTGTTCAAGATCTGTGTGGGAACACCAGCAGGAATTGGGCATCCAGTTTCAGGATGGCACCTGCCTCTCCGTATCACCGAATTCCCAGTCTGTGATAAGTCGGTGTGTTCAGAGTAGTGGACTGTTGGAAACAAATCCAGAAAATGGAGGCTGTGTTCATGTGAAGCCTTCTCTACGAACCCTGATGCAAGAGACGCGGGCACGTACCGACTGGGACCAGCAACTCGGAGCAATCGTCAAGGTCACAGAGGCCATTGCGGTCGACACGGCTTCTGTGGTTACCAAGTTTACTCAAATCGGTATTCGAGTCTACAGGACACCGAAACTGGAGCTTAAAGTGGATCCTACCTACCGAACTGGTCTTCCTATCTTTGGTAGCGTTCGGTTGAGTGGTTTGGATGACCTTCATCCGCTGAATGCTACTGCTTCCATTTCAGTAATGGTTTTTGAGATCAACTCTTTTGGATATTGGGGTCCCTCTCTGGAGCCGGGCGAGGGCGAAACTGGTGCTAACATCTTTAAGATCATACTGACCCCGGACGAGCAAGGTTTTGCCTCCTTTGTCATCCCACCTCTGTCCAGTGGAAATGATCTTCGAGTTAAGGCAAGAGTGGATCCAGGGAGGACGGACTACCCAACCACCAGAACTACATCCTCGTCCACGTTGCGGGATCGACTATGTCCCGGTTGCTCCGCTTGGGTTATTGATAATGAAATCTCCACATCCGAACATGTTCGGCACTGGCAGTCGAGATCCCCGCTGGCGCTGACCGTAGAGAAAACAGCCTATGACACCACCAAACCCTGCCCAGGCACGTTGACTGTCTCCCTCCTGGCCAACTCGCCGCTAGCTGAGGAGGACATCTTCATGGTCTACCTGTCTCAGGGGACGCCAAAGCGGATTTCTGCGCTCCTTCGGTCTTCCTTGAGCAATGGCCAAGCCTGCAGAGACCAGGACGGACCGCTGGGTCATTACACTTGCAATACTGCCTTCAAGCCCGGCGAGATCGGGGAGATCACCTGTCTGTCAGGCTGGAGGGGGGACAATTGTATGACACCGGACTGTCCCGATGAGGATTGTGGGCCGGGTGGACTGTGTGTGGCGCCCGGTGTGTGCTCTTGCCGAGACGGTTGGCGTGGCGAAAGATGTGAAATCTGCGAACCCCGAAAGGGCTGCCTTCATGGAGACTGCAGGCATGGCAATGACTGTGTTTGTAGAGATGGCTTCACTGGCCGTCTGTGTGACCGGCCGCAAGTTTTGTACGACATCATGGGTGAAATTATGCCCCTCAGTGCATTCAATTCCACTTTCGCGAATGGGAATCCGCCACCTGCAGCTTCCTCGGCACCCCTGCCAGAGGCAGGCACTGGGGTTCGACGGACCGTCTTCAAGTACGAAGCTGTTTTTAAAATGGACGTCAGTTTTGCGTCGACTCTGAGGGCAGTTGTCTACGTTTACCATCAAGGAAATGAGGATAAAGTTCCCGGTGTCTATGAGATCATCTCTGATTTTATTAAAATTGAAGGCTTTAAATCCTGTTCCACTCAAACACTGGTCAAGGGTAGTCGCGAATCAGTATCCACTGGCCTTCTGAATCAGCACACTGTTTTGCCTGGAGACGTATTGCAACTCACTTTGAGAGTTCCGACGACTGGTCACAATACCGACTCCCAAACTCCTGGACCTGACCACTTTTGCATACTAAGGATGCTTAGTGTCCCATTTAAACACCTTGATCGTCCCCCACTGGGGTCTTTCATCAACCCGCACACTTACGTTGGTCAACTGGAAGACTTCTTCTACCAGGGCGACTTCCCAGTTTTCAGCACAAAGACCGCCTTCGAGGCGGCTGGTATCGACTTCATTCGCATAGGACCCTTCAGGAGTCCTGCCCCACGTGCAGTCATGTGGCCTGTCTTCACGCCCCTCCAGGATAGCGAGCAGTTTGCGTCTGCCTTCCAGGACAGTGAACTCCTTTCCCCGCCGACTAGGACCCTTTCCTCTGATTCCTTCGCGTTCTCCTCTTCTTGGCTCTTTGACTACGTCAAGTTGCAGCCGGACACTGTATCTTCGCAGGTTTTCAGCGCCAATTTGACAGCCCCCAACGTTGTAAGTAGTTGGGAACTCTCGACCACTTGTTTCGCACCTGACCTCGGGCTCTGGATGCCACAGAGTCTGGACAGGGAATCCATTCACGTCACTCTGCCATTCCACTTCGAATTTGCACCAGTCACCAGGATGAGACTATCGGAGGTACTTCACCCATCACTCACCATTAGTCTGCTGCCATCCGACAGACGTGCCTGCTATGAGATCTCTGTCTCTCTGGTTGCGAACGACGCTGACTGGCAGGTTCTCGGAAGCCGACGCCTGCTCAGATGCCTCTGTACGGGCGACCCGAGGGCTACCTTGGCGCCGATAGCTCTAACACCTCGAAGACTGGGTCATCTGACCGTTACCGTGCGAGTCGTTGCTCTGACTGGCTCATCCATGTGCAGTGAAGAAGCGGAAACTGGTTCAGAGAGGGTTATTTCGGCCACAGACACAATTCGGCGACGCATCCTCGTGGTACCCGGCGGGCAGGAAGTGGCTAGCACGGTTGGCGGTTTGCTGTGTCTTCCGACCCCTGCCAGGCTGAAGCAGACGCTGCAACCCTTCGACCCAGTGTATTCTTCTCGCAATTACCTGTCTGTGTGCGGAAATATCCTCGGCAGAATGCCGGACAATTTAAACAAACTCATACCCCTGCCGGAGGGTTCGGCAGAGCAGAGCCTGGTAACAGTTTCTGCCGGTGTCCGTGCCCTCGAATATCTCGCTTCAACAGCGAATCTGGCTAAAAAGGAGGTCAAAGGCCTTCTTAAATCAATCATCCAGCATGTCAACATTGGGTATGCAAGTCTATTGACTTTCAAGCATAAGGATGGCTCCTTTTCGACGCTTGGACAGCAGTCAACTCACCAGGGAAGTACCTGGCTCACTGCTCTTGTGTCTGGAGTTCTTAGTGAGACTGAAAGGACCATGAAGGATTTGAAACTTCGGGGTCTGAATGTGGTTAGTCTGGATCCCCTCCCGGGGCTGTCGACAGCTTTCGACTTCCTCCTAACAGTGCAGCGTCCTGATGGGTGTTTTATTGAGCGAGACGTCGCGTCTCGCAACCGATTGCGCGTCAACTCTGATCCAGATGAGCAGGAGAGAACTGCTGATCTCGCTCTCACCTCTCACGTGCTCTCTGCCCTCTCAGACATCGCCAACATCCAGAGGATAGCAAACTCCTCCGTCTACGATAACAGTGTCCGTTCGGCTGTGACCTGTCTTCTCAGTACTGTTGACTCCCTTGGCGTCTCACGATTGCCTACTTCGGTACTGGCACCCCTTAGCTTTGCACTTTCTCGCTCACCGACCGGTGTGACCCTAGCACGACAGGACCGCGTCCAAGGTCTCCTTGCAGAGCTGCGCCGGCGCGCATACGAGCAGAACTCGGACGGAGGTCATCTCCGTTGGTGGGCGGACGATGCCTCCGCTGATTTCAGAGATCCCGCCCCGGCGATTGAGACAACAGCCTTCGCCCTCCTCGCGCTCTCCGCCAATCAAACTGCGGCCGAGAATTTAGCCGTAATTAGATGGCTTTTGCAGCAACAGAATGAACGTGGGGGTTTCTACACCACCCAAGCCACCGTCGTGGCCTTGAAAGCCCTGGTGCAGGCACTGGGGCTGTCACGCTCAGAGGAATCCCCTGTGGAGACACTTGTCAGCGTCACTTTGTGCCCGCTTGACTCGTCACATGCATGTACTTCAAGAGTGGTTACGCAGGTAAATAATTTGAACGAGCATTGCACAGGAGAGTATTTGAATGACCGCCCCAGCGTCAATGGCCTGGCCCAGAGTGTTGTCTGGGAAGCATCCTCATCTCAACCAGACAAGGATTATTGTGTCTCAGTTGGCTTAACAACATCTTATCATACTCTGGAACCGATGAATGAATCCCCCTTCTCCCTGGAAGTGATGCTTAGCCAGGGTGAAGACACCAAACCCGAGTGTACCCATGCCCGAGTGAGCGTCTGCGTAAGACTTTCAGAGAGGGCGGTAAAGCAATCCTCACCTCTGACCACGGGCATAATCCTCCTTAGCGTGCAGCTCCCCACTGGGTGGGCAATCAACTCGACAGAGTCAACATCACTCCGTTTTCTGCAACAACAACAACAACAACAACAACAACAACAACAACAACAACAACAACAACAACAACAACAACAACAGCCTTCTGCTCCTCTTCGCGTTGATCTGGATGCCGACAATCAGACCGTCTTGGTCTACTTCCAAGCCTTCACGGAAACGGAGTCAGCGGAATTGGGAGGGCGCGATAGGCTGTTGCGATGCTTTACCCTGGACCTGCAGCAAACGGTGCTTGTAGAATCTCCCGTCCCTTCCACGATCTCTGTCCAGGACTACTTCGCACCGCATCGTAGAACAAGCCGTACCTTCACTCCAAACACCTGCAGAGGGTACTGGGGATGGCCGGATTTGTGGAGAGTTGTCAAGAATGAGACAGCAGTAGCAGCAGCAGCGACAGCGGCAGTCTGTCCCCGTTGTTCTGGCATATCTCGTGAGGAATTGATTCAGACCATCGAGGAATCTCTGTGCTTGAACAGGGGCAGTCTTCTCCTCATCAGCCCTGGCCGGCAGAAGTTGGAGTCGATTGAGGCCACGGCCTATGAGATTGCTTTTGGTGGAAATATTGCCGTGTGGAATACGACCCTAAAACTTGCCGACCACTGTCCATGTGAGACCGTCAGGCCAAACCCTACAAGTGCATTTGTGATGTTTTCGAGTTCTCAACCTCCGGCTGTTGGAGCTACTGAGATGCTTTTGACGGATTTTACTATTGTCAGCCTGAATGAAGTTCAGGAGGCACTGATGGACAAAACCAGCCACTTTTTGCCCAAAACAGTACTGGACAAGTGTGAAAGATTGCGAGGACTGCGAAGGCTTCTGCGCAGGCGATCTGTGTACAGCTGACTGGGTATCTGACTAAAGTTATTTTTCTTTTCGATCATGCTGACACTGCACACGACGTTGTTGAAGTTCCCTTTTTTAAATTTCACTTGAAGGTGTGTAATTAGTGGTCGTTAGTTGCTAGCCGACTGACTTACTGGAGGGATGGTGACTTGGGCGGGAATTAGTTAATAGTGATGGTAGCCTTGCACTGAGTCTACCGCACTCTATCCTCCTCCACATATCTGAGTCTTGCGTTAGGAGAGAATCGAGAAGACCGGAGGCGGGGACGGGCGCCGAGAGAGCTAAACGATCCGTCTACGCGTGCCACAACGCTCATGGTGGACCAGGACTTCAAATAACAAGCGGCGGCTCGGACCCTATCTGAATGGAAATAGGCTGCGATAAAGGATTCTTTAGGCGCCCCCGCCTCTTTCTGTAGTCAGGATACGCTTGTGACCAGAGATGGGAGCGGGAGCAGTGGCTGAAAGAGCTAAACGGCCCGTCTACGCGTGCCACAACGCGCATGGTATGCCAGAACTTCAAATAACAAGGGGCGGCTCGGATCCCATCTGAGTGGAAGTAGGCTGCGGCAATGGATGCTTTAAGTGCACCGACCTCTTTCTGTAGTCAGGATACGCTTATGACCATTACTGTCCGCTCCAAGTTAGATTCCGCTTAAAGCTGATAGGACGTACGCACTTCAATTCACCATAACTCAATGGAACTGGTGTCGTCTCAAAATGAGGACCCATCGTTGGGGTTGGCTACCTCTGATGGAATACATAGTACAGGATGACTATAGTACACCTATGAGTGGTGTAACAGTTACTAGTAAACGCTCTTAGCCCCAGAGGAATGAAGGTTAGTCGTGAATTCCTTGATGAATTATCGACCCCCCCCCTCCGCTGGTGCAGAGTCAGGTGGTCGAACTATGGCAAATAGGCAGTTTTTGAGGTAAGATCCTATTTCTTAGCCACACCTGTTAGGAGTTAGGATTAGGGGTTGGGGTTAGTGGTTGGAATTAGGGGTTAAGGACTAAGGACCAGGGTTAGGAGTTATGGGTTAGGGGCGAGTGTTAAACCCCCTATCCCCACCGGTCCCGTATGACAGGCGGCTGGGGCTTGACTACTGCAGGTGCGGCTACGAAATAAGATTTGACTGCTTTTGATTCTCAGCACGATAAGATGTGGATATGCAGCTGCACCTGATGGACATAATACTGTTAGGGGTTAGGGTAAGGGGTGTGGGTTAGGGGCTTGGGTTAGGGATTAGTGTTAGGAGTCATGGTTAGGGGTTGGGTTTAGGACAACTATTCCTCAACCAATGAAAGTACAACCGCGCATTCCCAATAGCTTTTCTTCTGCATACAATTGCTTGACCTCGTTGCCTGTGCGCCCCGGCTCCATCTTTAAAAACCCCTATTACCACCGGTCCCGTATTGCGGGCGGCTGCGGTTTGTTTACTTCAGATGCGGCTGCATAACCCCATCTGGCCCTCGGCACATTTACTGCAAATACTTTAAACTGTCAGGGGTTATCTCAGGCCAGAGTCACACCCCCTTGCTCAAATCTAAGGGTCGTTATTCAGATGAGGTCGAGTTAAATGATAACTTTTGCTTTTCAAGAGGTGTACCAACTTCGCAAGATTTGTTATAAAGGTAGGAAGGTTTCCGTTCATAAAAGCCATTCCGTGCCAGATTGCTGACTCACCGACGTCCACACCTTCCGTATGAGGTCAACCGTTTTTGACTTGTGCTTGTCCCTACGCATGCCGAGATTGGTGAGGAGTCTGAGCCCTATCTCATCCTAGCATTTTATTCTCACAACCAGAGTAGGAGGAGCTTAAGCGGCCAATTCCTTGGTCTGCGCCGTGTTGTGCTCATCTGTGTTCGCTATGGGGTACGATCTATGCACTTGCTGATTCTGAAGTCAGCGATAAGATGTGGTTTGGCAGCCCCACCTGATGGACACAATACTGTTAGGGTTGGGTTTAGGGGTTAGCGTTTAGGACTAGGGGTTATAGTTGGGGGTTAGGATTAGGGATTCGGGCAACTATTTCTCAACCATTCAAAGTACAACCGCACATTCCCAATAGCTTTTCTTTTGCATACAACTACTTGATCTCGTCTCCTGTGCGTTCCGCGGCCCACCTGTAAAAACCCCTATTACCACCGGTCCCGTATTGCAGGTGTCTGGGGTCTGTTTACTTCAGCTGGGGCTTCATAACCACATCCGACCTCCCATCGTTCTGCACAAGATTTTTAGGCTGTCCTGAGGCTATTATATGGTCTTACTACTGTATCTGTGAGTGACCCACCTTAGACTTCGGCTTTCGCGCCAGATTTCGTTTTCAGTCCCCTCATCAGTCGCCGGAGCGGGGAAGATGACTGAGGTCGATAGTTTCTCACAGCAAGTCCGTGGGTAGTTTTTTTTGCTAAACCCTGTCTAACTGGTTTTCCGAATACCATGATGCGCTACAGTCGTGACTGCGAAGACTGCCAGCTGACTAGTGTCGAACGGCAATGGGTCCTCAGTAATGCAACATCTGTGGCACTCAGCCATTTAACATCCACGAAGGTCTCACTGAAGGTGCGGTTAGGGACCAACTCATGTGTTTCGACCGCGACCATCCACAGTACCGACTCTGCCTTAATATGGTAGCGGGTCGCCTACCGATTGCATCACGGAACTCACTCATTCCGTTGTACCTTACGGGCTTTCTTTCTCGAGCCCAACCAGCAGCCGCACAGCGGCGCGTAATATAGGCGGTGGAACACTACCAACAAAGACAAGAGAGACTGGGACGGTCATTCCTGGCTTAGTAGCCGTCTTCAGCCAGTCATACCCAGCCCCGAGGTGTGGAACACCTGGGGCTCGATTCCGCGACCTGTTAGTTAGAAGTCCTACGCCTCTAATCACTGAGCCACGAGTCCGTTGTCCTGTCGGTTGCGAATGGTTATATACAATAGCTGACGACGGCTAATAACTCAGAAATGGCTATCGCAATCTCCCTCGTCTTTGTCACTAATGTCATGCTGCCTGTATTACGCGCGCCGCTACGCGGCTGCTGGCGGGGAACTAAGGCCTAACGCGACGAGCGAGTGTCGGAACGCAATCGCTGAGCGCCCCTCTACCATTGTATGTACCAGATCGTAACCGAAAGGACAAAGAGCCCCTGGTTCACTGGTTAGAGGCGTTGCACCTCTAACCAACAGGTCGCGGGACCGAGCCTCAGATGTTGGATGCCTCGGGGCTGGGTATGGCTGGCTGATGACGGATAATAAGCCAGAAATTGTCAGTCCAGTTTCCCTTTTCTTTGTCGGACATGCCATTCTGTCTCAATACCTGACTTTTCTGGGCGTGCGGATAAATTAGGGTCTTGTATATGTTGCACAAGTCACTCCGACGCACTTCTGCCTCGCTAGCGACGATCTCATGAAATGTTAGCCGGAATTCTGGAATGCGGTTTCAATTTGAAAGGATTTTTGAGTGAGGCTACTTGATTGACTATCGTGCAACATGGGGCCGTGATATTTCAGACACGCTAGGATGCTGGTTTTTAAATGAACTTTCAGCTGTCCGCATGAAGCGCGTTCGGCGAAAAATGACTACTTAAGTAGCGTGCGTTTTCTCTACCAATTTTCGATGCTATCGGAAATTCAGACAGATTTTATGGAAAACCTCCATAAAAAATATCAGTCCCTGCATTCATTTGGTAGTAAATAATGTTTTCTTTAAATTTTATGCCCATAGACAGGGAATATATTGGTTTTAAAAATGTTTTTTCGTTCCCCAATAATTTTGAACTCGATTTAGCGTCGCATTTTAGTCTAGCGTTTTCGGTCTTCAAGCTGTATGCCTCCAGCATAAGAAAAAACATGCATTTCTCTGTGTTAATAAATAGACAGATACGATACCATTCGAATGAACGTTGGACAATCCCAAAAAATCTCATAATTAGAAACCTTAGAAGAAGACATGATTTGCTACCAAGTGAGTGCAAGAAGTAATACGTTTGTACATGTTTCTTGCAAAAATATCTTTTGACTGTCAAGGGCATCGAAAATCGATCGAAGAAACGCACACAGCTTAAGTAGTCGTCTTCCGCCGAGTGCTGTTTTTTTTTCAGGCGGCCGAAAAAGGTGCATTCAAAAGCCAACACCCCGGCGTGTCCGAAATATCACGGCATTTGTCGTAAGGTAATCGATATCGTAGGATTATGCAACAAGATAATCAATACTAGATTCTAATTAAGTGGTCCATCCTTAGCAAAAAAGCATTTTTAGGATTCCCTCTAACATTTTATGAGATCGGTCACTGACTGCAGAGAACTGGAGTACGCCGACCTTCTTTGTTGAACCTCCATGGGTTTTACTGAGGTAGTGCGTTAAGAAAGCGCTTTTTTTTATCAAAGTTGTTTTCCTGAGAAGGCGGTAAAAGGCTTCGTTTTAGTAGTCTGCCGACACTGAAAGCTTTGTTTACAGCTTCGCGTTCTTCCGACTCCTGGGGTGATTTATTGTGTCCGGCTACGATAAGATGTACGTAGGCGGGTGCGCAGCCGATCGGGCGAGGCGATGCATTTGTCCGATCGATCAGCGACGCGGTCGCCTAACCGTTTACCTGACTCCACCCCCTGCTTGCCCCTCAACAGGTGGAATCTTGCGCGCATTGTTTTTTTCGGCAGCCTTCATGTTTTGGAAGATTTTTTGTCGCTGTCAAGATGCTTGACAGGGCTTTCGCCAAAGTGGGCCTCGGTTGACCGGTTTGTGACGTTGGATAGGAGAACTGGTTAACTCCTTTTTTTCTACGCATCACAACTACGCGAGGAAGGAATGAGTGGCGTATACAGGTGAATTTTTTAGGTAGAGAGGAAGAAGGACGGAAAATGCGGGTAGATTGATTCAGTACTGTTTCAGGATTATTCTGCCATCATACCCCTGACCACCAGCTGAGACCGGAAACGCAAATATGCCCTCGTACACGCGCAAATGGTTCACAGACGTGTCTACCAGTTGGGTCATA